CTCCGCCGCCGTCCTAATCCGCCGTCCTCCTCCGCCCTCGGTTTTTACTCGGCCCGTGGTGTTCATCAAATAGTTCGCTGAATTTTTTTCGTTACATCAATGGATGCTATTTTCTTAACATTACAGTGCGAGCTTGCGACTGTAACACAGAAAACGCGGTTGAAACTGTTGTCGGAGATCGCGGCCGCCGCCATGTTTCAATGTTGTTGACAGACGACAGGGCAAACGACACACCCGCTCAACGTGAATATCGCGAGAGTTTGCACCGATGCAAACCCTCTACACAAAAATGTAGATGGTTGTTTGAAAAAAATGCAGACCGTAAAGTTTTTTTTCGACCTAGAAATTCTCGGTCGGTCGGGTTACCGGAAACACACTACTTTTTTTTCTACGCCTGAGCACTGACTTACATTCGTGTGATATTTAAAAGCACTTTACAAGTGAAAGGAATTGTGAGCTGGTAATTCAGGTGATAATTTACTCATTTTAACATTTTCATGACTCTGTCTCTGTCTTATTTTTGCCCTCTATTTCTCGTCCTCTGTTCGTGTGACTAATGACAAGGTCCAGTGCTCATGTCCTTATATAGACCTACAGTATGTGCTGTCGGATCAGGCTGAAGCTTGGATGATGGTGCATGCACACACAAACAGACTTGCTAAGACTGTAGATAGTTTGGTCAATTGTACCCGCGAAAATGTCAGCATTTTAGGGATGCAGTGTGAAGCGACATTTATTAATGTTGGTGTCGTTGTAGTCTCACGAGAGCGTGCCTGTGTTATTTTGTAGTTTTACCCTTGGATAGAGGTAGGAATCTCTCGCCCCCTCATTATCCATTCCAATTAACAATTGATGAATTCAAGCTTCTTAAATCAATGCAGTGTGGTTTGGGGACTATTGTTGAGATATGGCACAGCCCTATTGCTCATTTGCACAACCGTGAATGTTATGTGGACCAAATTGACTGTTCCACAGGTACTACACTTCCCTATTTCTGTGTCCCATTTCTTCCATGCCACCAAGCATTACGTTATCAAATATATCTGTGATCGAAATGTATTAATCCATCATGAATCCTTGAGATCTGTGTCGCGATCATGAACATCAACCTTATTTAGTTTTTACTTAAGATCTTTGAGAGGTATGTATCGGGTATGTATCCAGTCAGAACATTATCATCTTGGTCACCTACTGGAGCGCCTTGCGATGTTGACACAAGCAAATATTCAGCAGTTTGACTTAATTTGTTTCTATGAGGAGTAAGGTAAACCACATTAAGATATTGGGACATCGTGCTTGGGTGGGCTTCATACTGGAATAAAGTCTAAGCAGTGGCTAGCCGTTTATATCGTACAGAGGCCTCCAGTGGGGACTTAACTGACACTTAAGCAACCTCTTAATACCTACACTACCACGTCACAATCGTAGAAATCATCAATACCACACGAAATACAACGTTGCCATGTCCATCATCTGGAGCAGTTCAGAATTGATGCAGTATTTATCGAATAATATGACAAAAACATAACCCCCTCCCCATGCACACACATCGTACCCACTCGACATGCTGATTATGAAATGCATTATTGCAAGCACATTGCTCCCGAAATGTTTTGCCTCTCCAAGTTGTCTGGAACACGTTTAGCTCTGACCAACTCAAAGTGAAAAAAACATTCTGACGGCATTGGGGGTAGCCGGTTGGCTCTGAAAGGACACATTTCAAATTTGAGTGGTTGAAGGAAACAGTCCCATTGCTGGTACGTTTTTTTTTCGTTAAATTAGCAAGTGCGGATCAAGGCTTAAATCTAATTTGACAAAAATTCCATCCACATACAAGTACGGGATGCAATCCAGCTAAGATAAATGCTATGGAATGAAGAGAATAGATGATGTTGGAAATTGATGATTCCAATTTCATAAAACACCGCCACTGAATCCAAGTATGTGGCCACTACCTTGTTAACTAGAATAGTTAGCAAGTGAGCATAGACATGTCTACACGCACACATAAACGCACGCATGCATGTATACACAACTGCCGCTCGTCAGGCCTAGTTATCGACAGAGCGAGTTCTGTCCTTAAATGGTACAGGAGACAGCCCAGGGCCCTGTCTCTTTTCCCGTAGCACAGTGGAAATGAAGTCCAGTTCTCAGAATAGCCTTTTAAAGTGGAGGAGAGGGGACGGAACGATGATACAAGCATAGCAAAATAAGGTAAAATAGATGGCGGGAGGAAGCTTGATGGCTTAACTTGAGTAGTTGACCATGAACGATGTCAGGAACTGCACATTTTCCGTTGCTTTTTTTTTCCCCTCTTTGCACCAACAAGTTTCTTACCTGCCAAAAGAAATCCTTTACAATTTAAATGGGGATAGAAAAAAAATCCCTCTTTAGAATTAGCCCTTTGCTTTTTTGTAATCCTGCTTCATTTTTACCCCAATTAGAAAATCACGAACATCATTGCATGGATGTTGATATGACAGTATTTTCAACTTGTGTAACATTTTGTTTCTTCTCCTTGCAGCCTGAAAATCTTCAGAAAACATGGCTGAGGGAGTTTTACCAGGTATGTATGTCTGGCCTTGACCCAGTTAGCATTTTTGTCTCACAAGCGAGACATGTTTAGGTTTGGCATGGAACAATTGATTGGCTCTGAAACCTTTAGCCTCAGCTATACATTCTGTTAAAGCTAGCTTTGTCTACATAATGGAGTAATAATTTCCTCCATAGGAGTACAGTATTTGCATTTTCAAAGAGATGGAAAGTTACTATAATTTTAACACAGCCGTGACTTTAACCACAAATTAAAGGCCCCACCCCACACAACTTTGAGTTGACCTTTGTTGGGAGTCAGATGAAGATATATGCTCATTTTGAGGAAAGCTAATGTCATGTTTTTATTATTGTTTTCCCCCTCAAATTTCAGAGGTTGTCTTTATTACATGTCTGTGATATGCTTTTGCCCAAATACCCCAAAAGATCAAGAATTATGAGTACAATGCACTTAACACTCTTCAGTAATGATCCTGGCTAAATGTGCCCTGTTAAGAGGGAGCAGTCCTCTCTCTTTCTGATTGGCTTTCTCTCAGCACATTTTTAGAAACAGGCAGCTCACAAAGATGTTTTTGGTTGTATTATTCACGCCAAATGTGTGAGCAGGAACTCTAGAAATGCCATTTTTTGTATGGAAACACTTAAAAAGCCAAGTTCCCATTCATACATCTGCTTTGACTCCACATTTAATGTAAATCTGTCTGACCGCGTTATCTCCATACAAGCTTTGACTAACCACAACTCTTTCCACTGGAGTTTGGGATGTGAGACAAATCAAAAATCTAGTGTCTCTGAATGTATTGTGGATGTTGAAAAGTCTACACGCCTGTTGTGAAAGGGCTGTTTTTGTGATAGAAAAGAATGTGACCAAGATAAACCATTCAAAAACCTTTTCTACCATTTAATGTGATCTATAATCTGTACAATTCAATTAAAAAATATCTTCTAGAGTGGAATTCAAAAAACAAACTGATATAATGTGGTTGTAAAAGTGTGCACAACCTCGTTTAACTGGGATGTGGTTGTGTTCAAATTGAACCCCTCACTCATATTCAAACTCCTCTGAGTCAGTGCTCAACGGCCACCTTTTAAAGTGCCTCTGATTAACCCCACATAAATGTCAAATCGTCTAGTATGCATATCCTGGACTTTGTTTTGCTTTCTAGTAGTAGCAGAGAGGTTTTGCGCTTACACAGACTGCTGTATCAAAGTGATCTTAATTTGTTCCACTTTGTCTAAGGCCCTTGTTCCAGCTGAAGAAAAACAGCCCAAAAGCATGACACAACCACCAGTGTGCTTCAAGTCTTGTGATGGTGTTCTTTCGGTGATGAGCATGCTTGTGTTTGCTCCAATCATACCTTAAAAAACAAAAAAAAAAATTCAGCCAAACAATTCAGTCTTGGTTATATTAGACCATAAAAACATAATTTCTGTATTTGAGTGTTTGAGAAATTTTATGGTCCGATGAGACCGATCTAATCACATCTATCACTACTGTGTGTGTGTGTGTGTGTGTGTGTGTGTGTGTGTGTGAATATGTATGAAATGTGTATGTATTTATATGCTGTGTGTGTGTGTGTGTGTGTGTGTGTGTGTGTGTGTGTGTGTGTGTGTGTGTGTGTGTGTGTGTATAAACAGGATATACGTGTTTTTTGACTGAAGCTGTGTCTGTGTCAACAGCATTGCGCAAACGGTAGGGTTGCTATGCTGAAGGATTATTTGTCTGTGCTCAATAAAACCAAGTCACATTGATGCGTTTCCATTAGCAGTTTAATTTACAGAAGCTTCTGAGATGATATTTTTCTTTTATATTTGGTTGGTTTCAACACAAAGCTATCATCCGGCTGGGATGATCCATTTTTCACTAACATGCTCCCTCCATGTCTTGGTGAGAGTCAACGTAGGGACTAGAGATTATTTTTCCATTCAAAATCATTGTAAATACATCACTCATACTGTTTCGTCAAATGGGGATAAATGGGCTCCAAAATGCATGTGGACATCTCTATTTAGGCCCACTTCAACCTCTGAAAATAGCACAATTTGCCTTTCCATGGCTGACCTAAAACAGATTGAGGAGTAGTTTGAGTGAGTAGTTTCTGTCATATCTGCCTGTTTTCTTTGATAAGACACCAAGATACGCAAACGCAATGCGTTCTGAGAAGCTTTTCGTAAACTGAATTGTTCATAGGTCGTTATATATTCAATTTAAATCTGTCAGAATTAGCTTGATTTACTTTTTCTATGAGGTACTCTCAACCGCCGATCAGAAAATGAGGTGCTTGAAACGGCCACATTCGGCTGAAGGGTAAGCCTCATCACGGCATGTTCGAGGCTCTAAGTAATTTCCAAGTTAAACGTTGAAATTTCGACAAGCAAACCTCCGGGGCTTGTTTCACAGCTATATTTTCAAAATTGATGCACACGGCCCAGCCCACTCGCAGATGGCGGGTGCTCAGTCTTGACAAGGTCGGGGAGCCTTATTTTGTATGTTTCCGGAACCGGTCAGTTGTTTTTAAAACACGTCCCCAGGAAGGAGTGACATCTCAGATGAAGGCTGAAGTGACAGCCGAAACTGTCATCGAGCTAAGAGTTTTTCTCTTCACCAAAAAAAAAAAAAAAAAGAAAAAAAAAGACCATTGTCTGGGGAAAAAAAAGAAACCTTGTCTGTTCAGCTGTCGAAAGCTAATTCTGCCTCGACAAGCCACGGGAGATTGCGGGCTGCCTCTCTCTCTGGCTTTGGTGCTGGAACAAAGGTTTAGCATCACTAAATATCCGAAAATTCTGACCAATTAGCACCAACATTCATATTCACATTCCTACTATTGTCCAGTTCAACCAGAAGAAAAAAAATGATGTCGCACAGTATTTTTGATTTTGTGGAGGGGAAAGTGACGAATAATGCCAAAATATTGTGCAAATCGCTTTTACATTTTCACAGGTTCTAATGTACTAGAGTAGAAATGCACATATGAATTTATGTGGCAATTAATCAGCATTTCAGACACTCTGTGAACATGACAAACCAAGCCAGGAAACAAAACATATTACAATGCGTGCCTCCCCGCTATTGCATCGACAGGCTGAGATGGAGTATGTGCTTCATACTCATGTAAATGTATGCGTTCCTGACTTAAAAAGATTTTTATTTTCCCATGCTTTGGGTTTTGCTTCCACAAGTAGAAGCAAGCTGTGAGTTGCTGTGCTCTTGGTGCTGTACGATGGGGGCGGGGAAACAGCCTCATGGTGGCTGGAATTCCCAGTCTTGCCCGGGAAGATCCAGTCCGCTGGTCTTCACACTCAGCAAAAGCCAGACTCACCATTGGCCCCGAGTGGATGACGGCGGGACAAACTATATATAGACATATTGTCTATAATTGAGAACATATGCTACACATCTATGATTCTTCACCTTTGGGGTATTTTGCTGAAAGCATGTCACGCACGTTATTAAGACACCTGGGAACTGTTTTAAAGTCTAAGAACCAAATAAAATGCAGATTAGGAGACAAATGCCAACCACCACCCCCGCACCAGACCACTTACACAATTTAAAATTCCCGAATATCTCAGAAAACTCCTCTTTGAGACCCCTTTTCAAATATTGCATTTTTGTTCTCCAGAGCTCTGTTTGGATGCTAACTGGTCAAAATCCTGATGTGTATACGAAAAAAAATATACAGCCTGCACTTTTCTTTAGTTGCTGTTCATTTCCTCAATTATTTAAACAAGTTTGGACCGTAAACCAAATGTAGACCAGGGACCAGCTCCCCATTGGTGGTGATCCGACTCACCTTGAACACACAATGCTTGAATGACGTCACTCTATTTTGCCTTAAGTGGAAACTTGAATACCATGTCTCATGATGCCAAATATTGCCACAGGGAAATAATATGTGGGTTAAAGCATATTGACATAGTTAGGCGACGTCTCTGACTTTATTTTAACTGGTACAGCGTAGTAGATCTCAGATTAGTTCAATTTTAATCCCGGTCTTGCACATATTGCTGCAGGGTGGAGGGATTTCCTTTTAAAGTACATGTAACATTGCCTTTCCAAGCATCATAGTAATCTTATATTGCTGACTGTACGTAGGATGATTTCACATACAGTAATTAACTGTCAAGCTCGCGTCGTCGTTTTTCAGTGGAGGTTCATGCCTATTACAGTATACAAACCCAATTCCAATGAAGTCAGGATGTTGTGCTTCATATATTGGTAAATGAAAACAGAATACATTGTTATGCAAACCATGTTCAACCTATATTTAATTGACTGCACTACAAAGACAAGATATTTCATGTTCAAACTGAGAAACATGACATTTTTTAGCAAATAATAATTAACAAAAAATTTTATGGCTGCAACGTGTTCCAAAAAAGCTGGAACGGGGTCAAGTTTACCAC